GAGAGAGAGAGAGAGAGAGAGAGAGAGAGAGAGAGAGAGAAGCAGCGGAGAGAGAGAGAGAGAGAGAGAGAGAGCGAGGTGCCCCCACCCCCGTGTTGTACGCACCACCAGCGTCGGCTTTCCATCGGAGTACTTCTGGATGATTCGCAGCAGCTTGTAGTTGAGAGACAGATCGAACCTGAACTCCGACCACGACTCGATGCAGGGGAAGCCCAGCACGTGTTTCGTGAGCTTCACGGGCCGCACCTCCTCGCCCATCCTGCGGACCGCCGCAAGGAACACTGTACACAGCTGTTTGCTTTCACACATACACATACACGCACACACGCACGCACACGCACGCGCGCACGCACGCACGTACGTAGAGACGGATAGACGGACGCGTGCATATACATACACTCACATGAGCACACGCACGCACGCACGCACACACGCACACACGCACGCGCGCACGCACGCATGCAGGGACGAACAGACGGATGAATGCACGCACACACGCGCGCACGCACGCACGCACGCACGCACGCATGCAGGGACGAACAGACGGATGAATGCACGCACACACGCACGCACGCATGCAGGGACGGATAAAAGGACGCGTGCATATACATATACTGACACGCACGCGCGCACGCAGGCACGCACACACGCACGCACGCAAAGACAGACAGAAGGATGAATGCGCATGCATACACTAACACGAACGCACGCGCACACGCATGGGACACCTTAGAATCATTCATCAGGATATATTTTGTACGTCACGCTACTGCGACCAATAATTGCCCTCTCTTTTAAAACTATTACTTAAAGAAAATACCATTTCATTTGAAAGATACTGGGCGCATGTACTATCGCAAATCTCCCGCTGCGATAAAGGGAAATTGAGTACGGCAGGAGAAAGATTTGGATTGAGAGTATTCATGTTAAACTACCGATGTGTATGCGCTTTCAAAATTAAAAAGTACAATTTTAAATAAATACTACGTATTTCATTCATAAGATAAGGGCTGGACACACGGATGCACGTTCGTTGGGACTCATGCCGCCATCTATTGGCTGATTTAAATTTTATTAACGTCACATCCAGCATGCGCACCTTATAACGATTAAAGTACGCGATGAGAGTGCATTTTTCATAGTCAAGCTAGTGTGAAGAGTACTAGCTCTCTCTTTCAAAGTCATAGTTTTAGAAAATACAACTTTACGTGGCAGATACTGGGCACGCCCAAACACAACCCTCTCACTAAACTACAGGGGAAGTCAGGGGCGTAGCCAGGATTTTCAAAGTTGTAGGCACGACTATCTGAGCGGAGCGCCACCATGGGTTGGCGCGGAGCGTACAAGAAAATTTTTGGTTTTACAAACCCCCCAGATGGCCGGAAACGGCCCTTCCCGAGTGTTCATTCTGGTTCCCTGGCCTCTTGCTAACTTGAGACACCTAATTCAATATCACTTTTAAACCCAAAAAAAAGTTAAAATAGGGTTACGAACGAGTTAAAATGTTAAAAAACTGACAAGATCGGATCCTAGTCTTTTTCGGCGGGTAGAGTGTTGAATGAAACGGCACGCGATAGAAATGACAGCCTAGATGACAGAAGAATAGGTCACCTAATTTAGCCATATTCTTGCTACGTTCATTTCAATAGTTTTTCCTGTCTAGACTCTTAAACTCGTCCAGCAAGCTTATGGAATTGAATTATGGGTGTTTAAAAAAAAAAGATAACTTGGCCAAAAAAAGTGTAGGCCCGGGCCTACAGTGCTACATACTGGCTACGCCCCTGGAACTTGGTGTGACTAGGTACTGTATACAGGGGCCAGCCTGTACGCCTCTGGGAGGACGATATAATATCCTAAATATCACGCAATTATCGAGATACTCACTTGTAACTGATTGCTGTGCTGTCGTCTGATCCAAGCCATTCTGCGATCTGAACGAAATGAAGTAAAAATAGCACGACTCAAGAACTGAACCTGAGCTTATATAACTGTTAATACTATCGATATTTATTCCTGGGGGATATATGCTATGCGTTCAGACTAGTAACTTATTTGATTGCTACAATTATTGATATTTATCGCTGGGTGACCCTTGCAATGCGTTCCGACTAGTATCTTATCTGATTGCTACAATTATTGACATTTATCCCTGGGTGACCTTTGCAATGCGTTCTGCCTAGTAACTTATTTGATTTCGTATATTGCAGCCAGCGTAAATCAACAGCAGGGGCAACAGCAAGGCATGATGAGTTTATTGTTAATTCTCACATCCTCTGCGTTTGGAATCGTTGCCGAAACAGCGATGAATCTCAATCCAGCTGCTGAAGACGTTTGCGACTCTGATTCCCTGTAGATGGCGCTACGCACTGTCTTCATCCTTGTAACAACGGCCTCCATGGTGGCGCCTCGGCTTGCGTCATTAAGAAGATGCACCTATGTGCGAGGAATGAATCAGTCGTATTAACTAAGACGATGGTGAGGAATAAATCTAGATGTAAAATAGAAGGTGGTGTCAGTATGAACAGTGTTAGCTGATTAGTACTAATGTGAGATAGACGCTCTGCATATTGCACTGCGCGAACGCACACACGCAGACAGGCGCGCGCGCACGCACGCACACACGCGCACACGCACACGGGCGAACACACACACACACACGCGCGCACGCACACACGCGCGCACGCACGCACACGCGCTCGCAGGCACGCACGATCACACACATGCACGCACTCACACACACACAAACACGCACGCTCGCACGCACACGCACGCACACACGCACACACACACACGCACACACGCACGCACACACGCACACACACACGCACACACACACA